ATTCAACTCAGTGGTTAGTTCTATATACGGTTGTTAATTATTTGATCTATACAAATTTAAAGACATTAGATATACAACCTGGCATAATGCTGCTTCCAGGTTCATTTTCAGGGAGGATAAGCTCTCCTAGGCCAGAACGTGGCCCTGAACCCAAGAAACGAATATCATTAGCTATCTTCATCAGACTGCATGCCACAGTGTTCATGGCCCCACTCAGTTCAACTAGAGCATCATGAGCTGCAAGGGCTTCAAATTTATTTGGAGCAGTGATGAAAGGCAAACCTGAAGAGGATTAAGAGGGTTAAGGCATAACACTGGCAAAAGCAGCACCCACCTCTTCCCCCAGCCAAAGCTCTTGAAACATTATAATAAACCATATTATGAATGATTTCTGCAAAGTAAAAAATGTAAAATTAAAATACTAATCAGAATGGATCCTTTCCTTCTTTGGACCTTCTGTAACAAAATATATTAGAGGAAAGCAAAGGAGATGTTTATCTAAGATACAAAGTATCAAGAAGTGGTAAACAGCAAGAAACTTACAAGTGCATGTAAAATTCAATTTAAGAGCTGTTGAAGTACTGACAACCCTAGCCATTTATTAGCAAGGAAAAGATCTTAGACCAGTTGTGCAGTGGTTCATTAAGACAGCAGTGGAGAGGTATTTTCAGTCAGAAAGCCTGAACAGGATAACTGGTTTGGGGTTTTGGTGATAAGGATCAAAGTCACTATGGTGTCTGCAGAGATGCTAATCTGTGGGTGGAGTTCAGATGGGTGTTGCAGAAAATGGAAGGCCCCTCTCTAGATTAAGGTATATTTTCAGCAACTTTGCAAGTCTTTAATTTCAGCCACCATCCCCCATCCCCTCCCAACTTGTACCAGCTCTTGAATATGCTGGTTGACTTATCCCTCTTTTTCTTGAGATTACTCCAGTTTCCACTGCCCAACCATGAAGAACTCTTTCTTCATACCATGGAGAGTACAGAATCATAGAAAATTAGGGGTGGAAGGGACCTCAGGAGATCATCTAGTTCAGTGGTCACCAACAAGTGGATCTCAAACCACTGGTAGATCTCAGAGCCTCGTGGAGTCAATCTGAGGCTGGGGTGGGGGCTGAGTGCCTGTGTGCATGCACACGCATGGCTCAACCCAGCAGGTCAGTCCGTGGGGGAAGGGAGGGAGCTAAATCAAGGTCCCCACAGTGAGGGACAGTGCCGTGGAGGCAGGAGCAGAGGTAAGTTGAGTGGGGTCCCAGCTGGGTGGGACTCACCTGCTGGGGAGGTGTGTTCCCCAAATCATTTTTTCTCCCTCTGCCTTGATATGCACCCCCTCACCCCGCACAGACTTCCCTGTTGGACAGGGACGGGGGCAGAGGGAGGGAGTGGCGACAGTGCATGG